CACAGGTGCTGCTCTCATTCTGTCGAGTGCAGCACCCTTTACTCCCGAGGGCCCCTCCGCATCTTGGGGGGGACCCCCCCCCCCCCCCCCCCCCCCCCCCCCGCCTCGTTAGATAAAACACCGCTCATATTACAGAAGTTGTCATTGTTCATGGGACTAGAAGTAGGCGCCAACCGTTTAGAATAAGGAAGTGCTCACATAGAATAATTTTACTGTATAGTTCTATTCTAAAAACTATTGAATCATATAGAAAAAAATACCTAGTATCTTTCTTTCATTTAGGATGCTATTCGTTATATGGCTGGTGAATGTAACTACGGAGGCCGATAAGTTTCTTTTTTTTGTGCAAAATCTCTTTATCTTTAATTTGTTCTTCGTTTTTTTTACAGTAACTGATGATTGGGATCGTCGATGTTTAAGTACTATTCTTTTTGATTTTTATAATCCTCAAGTAGCTGAAATTCCTAAACATAAATTATCTCCAAGTGGTGTTTATTATGTACCACCTAAAGGTACATATGATGAATATGTTGAATTTATTAAAAATTTGCCATTAACTCAACATCCTGAAGTATTTGGTATGCATGAAAATGTTGATATATCAAAAGATTTACAAGCCACAAGACTTTTATTTGATTCAATTCTTTTAACAATGGGTTCAACAACAGCTGAAGGTGGAGATACAGATAAAAAATTAAATGATATTGCTAATGATATACTTTCAAAAGTAAATATACAATTCAATTCAACTTCTGTTTTTTTCTCAATATATTTTTATTTAGTTACCAAATAATTTTAATTTGGAAGAAGCAATGAAACAATATCCAACACAATATGATGAAAGTATGAATACAGTTTTAGTACAAGAAATGGAACGATTTAATAAGTAAGAAAATTTAAAAAGATAATCATTAAAAAAAAGAATTTTTTATTTTAAAGATTAATGACTGTTATTCGAACAAGTTTACAAAATGTTATTAAAGCTATAAAAGGTTTAGTTGTTATGAATGTTGAATTAGAAGCTTTAACAAATAGTTTAATGATTGGTAAACAACCAGAAATGTGGATTAAACAATCATATCCATCATTAAAAAGTTTAGGATCATATTATAATGATTTATTAGAACGTATTAAATTTCTTCGAGTAAATTATTTTATTTAGATAATAAAGAATTGTATGAGAGTATAATATTTTAATTTTTTTTTTCCTTTAGACATGGTATGATATAGGAAAACCTCCAGTTTATTGGATTTCAGGCTTCTATTTTACACAAGCATTTTTAACGGGTGTTAAACAAAATTTTGCAAGAAAATATACAATACCAATTGATTTATTAACCTTTGAATTTCAGGTATGAACTTATTTGAAAGAAAGATTTTCAAAATGACAAATATTCTTATTTATAATGCATTAACCCACGGAAATAGCTTCCACAGGTGCTGATTGTGAAGCTGCTATGATGAGTTTGAGCGAAGTCATTTCCCTGTGGAGATGTAGAAGGAGGCATCAATTTTAAATGACAAAAAATTACATTTGTTGTTATTTTTGTTTTGCATTTTCTCGTAGTTACGCTCTCATTTTATCTGTACTAAGCTGGAAACCTATACTTATCATAAGCTGTTTTTTGGCAATTATGTAATTTCGGGTTATATGGTGAGATACTTGCAAAAGTACTTATTTTTTGGATTGAAATCAGATCTTTCATTTATAGGATCGTGTTGGTTTTGATAGTCTTTATTTTCTTTCTGTAATATGAAAACATAGTTCAAAAACAGCCATTCCTATTGTTAAGGTTTCGCCCCAAACGGAAAACCATAATAAAAGCTGCAGGTTTCTATCTTTTATCTATAAGAAATTATTTAAAACAGCTGTGGAATGCTGTTTTTCACTAGCTATTAGTTCTAATGAAGTCCTTAGCATGAAAATTGTATTATCTGTGAGTTTATACTGAAAACAAAAAATAATTCTAGAAAAATCATTTTTCTTGTTAACCACTACGAATGCATCAAAAATAGCAGCGGTACCAAAACTTTTGGCCACGAGAAGAGTCCATAGGGTCGAGTCCGAAAATGTTGAATCCGATGGACTAACCATGTGGGAAATGTGCGGCATACAATAGTCACTGCATAAAAAAGATCAGAAAAAAGTCTTTCATATCTTCGAGATGACTATCGTATTTCGATTAGAGAATTTTAGTGAGATTATCAAACCCAGGTTCGACGAACTCTAATAGCAGAGTCCTCTCAGATCTCGTATGGATCCATCTTTAGCAACAGTTTTAAACATTATTTGATCAGGCCTCATCACTGCTCTTATTCAAAAATGGTTTATCAAGAGATATGTGAATTCATTTTTGACAGACGTAGATTACAAAAAACAAGGTTCTCCTATGTTTTATGTTCCTTAATGAACGATTAGTAGAAGTTTTATTTATAACTTCCTCGTTTCGTATATAAGCATGATTGAAATTTTTTATGCATTTTTTTTTCAGGTTTTGAAAGTCTATAAAAGTGAAACAGCTCCAAATGATGGTGCATATATAGGTGGTCTGTTTCTCGATGGTGCACGATGGAATCAAGAAACGTAATTTATTTAATTCTATCTGTTTTTCTTGAATTCTTGTTTTGTTTTTATCTAGATGTTTACTTGATGAACAATTTTCGAAAATTCTCTATGACCCAATACCAATCATTTGGGTAAAACCAGTAAAAACAAATGAATTAAATACTCAAGGAACATATGAATGCCCAGTATATAAAACAAGTGAACGACGTGGTGTACTTTCAACAACAGGTCACTCAACGAACTTTGTTATGCCTGTTTATTTACCAACAAATCAACAAGCACAACATTGGATAAAACGTGGTGTTGCATTACTTTGTCAACTTGATGATTAAAAAACAAACATGAAACTAAATTGAATAAGTTTTTTTGTCGTATTGTTTATTCTTATATACATTTATTTTATTTTTTCTCTCTCTCAAGAAGAAATTGATTGTATTTTTTTTTTGTCACTATCATCACAGACTTAATCGACACTAACAAGAAAAAGAAAAGGCGAAACAAAGAAAAAAAATAATTAGAATTAATGATGATTTTGAGTTTTCTTTTTTAATTTAATTGCTTCTAAAATTGGTTTTCGTTTTGATTGAAAACGGTTTTGTACTTCACGTAATTCAATTTCCATTATTTCATCAAGTAATGCTAAACGTTGTTCGATTTGTTCAACAGAAAATTGTTCAATCGTCTAAAACAAAACAAAATACAATCAAGATTTTATGTAAATAATAAATTTACATACTCGCTGAAAATCTTCACCGTTTTTATTATACGTTCGCACTTCTTGAGCGATTAATTTCATAAATTCTTCTTTACTTTTATCAGCTGTTGTTCGTTTTGAATTTTGATTAGGATTTGAAAATGGAGGTATTAAATTAGATGGTTGCTGTTTATTCGTTGTCTATAAAATTAAGTAAAACATTAAATTGATGAGAAAATAAATGGTAATCGAATGGCTTCTTTTGTTTAAGAACAGTTATTTTACAGATTATCTCGATTGTACAGAATGAAAGAATACTTCTGGTTTTCGGCTACTTTACAGTATAGAGTACTGTCTAGCGGTGGATTCAGAAGTCTGATATTTTTTCTACACATGATTCTAGCTGTAATTCTGAACAGAAAGCCGGGCTGATGCAGAGTTCTTGCGTTCAAGTGCTTGAGCTTCTCATACACAGTAATTGACCAAAGATGCAGGTGTATGTCACAACGTAGTCAACATGCTATCGAATGGGTCATCCAAGACAATCAATCGTTAGTGACTTATCCAGGGTCACTCCATTGCTGGTGGCACGAAAGTTTGAATACAGTAACTTATGGGTACTAGTCGAATAGCGCAGTCATTTAGCCATGACACCGTGTACAGAATGGATAAGATACAATCGATACTAACTGTCTGACAAGAAAAGTTCTCCGACAGATAAATCGTTATTAGGACAAAACTATGTGCATCTTGTAGACCCTAATAAGTTATGAGTATCCTAAAAAGAGTTCGGATTTTTAAGTGTATGACCGTAAAGATACTGCAGTTTCACAGTGTATGTTTTAATTCAATGATCACGATCCCTATCAAGAAAGCTGATTTTTGAATTTTGATTCGAAAGTTCACATAGAGACTTGTCTTAATAAGAATAGTTTATTGAAAGTCAGATATTTTCTGTTGTCCCTAAGCTTAGATAGGGCGACAGTAAAAGCATGTGTTGTACATCGTTTATGTACACCGACAGATTCGATATTCTTATTTAAGGATAGAAGCGAATTAAAAGGCTTAAAACGTTTGCAATAAATTATTTTCCTTAAGACCAGTCTCCATGCAAAGTTTCAAGTTGAAATTTGAAAATGAGTTTTTCTAATGTTCCTGACGAAGGAGACCACAGTCATTGAATTCAAAAATTGAACGATATGAATCAATATGAGTTCGAACGAAGTTTTACAATGAATTTGAAAGATAATCCTAAAATTTCTTCCATAACAGATATAAAAGCGCTCTTGTAGGAGATGCACTTCAAAGTAACGTCAATTTAATAAAAACAAAACCATAACAGAGGGCTTGCAAATAAGTCAAGAATAGAATGAAAAATCCAGAAACAACTTGTTTTCTACAACAGCACTCACTATTCCGAAATTGGAAATCCAAGGTATTCTACAATGAAGATGGCTTGAAGCACTGTGATACATAACTTCGCTGAAAAATTTACAAAGGTTGACATAAACAAGTCCAATTTAGGAGTTTCAAACACTAAAGTTCACTTGATTTCTTTGAATCTCCAATTTCTGGACGGTGAATTTATTTCATTGTGTATCAAATGCTTTCAAGAGCAAACTAAGCAATTAAATCTGAATTATGAAGATAGAGCTCAAAACACTTGACGAATATCACGAAGTAGAGATGATCGATCAAAATAAATTTTTCATCGTAGTCTTTAGTCACATAGTGAACAATCTTCGTAGAAAATTTGAACTTTTTTTTTCTTGCTAAATATTCATATATTTTATATCCTGTGTTTCTTGAATTACAGTCTTGCGATATTTCAAGAAGAAAAAGAAAACAATTGACTTAATCTACCTTAAGTGTATCTTGTTGACTATCGGCATCATTTTCTGTTTCAGTTCCATTTTCATTAATAATCATTGTATCAGATGATTCGGATGATAATTCAATCATTGTATTACAACTACTTGATTGGAATGTATCTGTTTCTGTATCTTGTTGATTTGTATTTGTATTTATAAATGCTTGTTGTTGATGTTCAGGAACAATTGTTTCATCTGGATTATTATTTATTAATGTACCATCACTACTACTAGAACGTTCAGCTAAAATACCATTATGAAATGTAGTTATTGTTGTTGCATTAGGTGGTATTGTAGATCGATTTCGTTCTTGAATATCACGAACTTCATCAATCATTTGTTTTAAAACACTGTTATCTTTAGCATTAAGAATAAATTCATGCTAATAACAAAGAAAAATTATATATAAATGAAATAAAATCAAGTAATCAATAAATTACATTAAGTAATTCAGTTGCTGTTGAACGTGCATCAGGATTTTTTACAAGACATTTCGAAACAAAATCATTTAAAGCTGGTGTCCATCGTGACATATCTTTAAATGTTGGAGGTGGACGAGATGGAATCATAAAAATAGCCTAAAGAAAAGAAACTTTTTTTCTATTCAATGGATATTAATGAATCGATAACTTACACGCATTGGATGAATATCACTATATGGTGGTTTGCCTTCAGCTATTTCAATAGTTGTAATACCTAAAGACATTAATAAATAATGGAAGATTTTTGTCAACTTAATACCTTTGGGGGTAAAATGTGCAACTCACATGCGTTCTTTAGCCTCATTATACAAATACAAAAGATGTCAAGCGAAAGATTTCCAGCAGATTATAGTTGTCTTTCAAGGATAATCAATGGGCAAAGAAACGATCCGTCTTATTTATTTCTGCATGTCAAGCAGAAAATTTTTCTAATATTGACGCTCTATTTTGTTTCTTTTCATTTTGGTATTCCGTTATGCTTAATTTAACATAACCATTATTCCAACGATTGATTAAACTGGTAAATAAATCTTTAGTGCACATCCATTATATCTACATCAGATCGCAACACACTACTCTCAGTAAGTTCAGACATGATGCACATAGTCTCAACTAAAAAGTGATTTATCAGTTAGGAGACTTCTCTAGTAATTTTTGTCACTAATGTCATTCACTACCTTTTTTTCGTCCCTAGCGAACTCCAAAAGAAAATAGTCTGACGCCTGTTGCTATGAAAACGTACACAATTATCGTTGGGCCTTATCCTCCAATGATAAGGTCTAGCGGGTCGGCCGTGAAAATCTCGATTTAAACTTATACTCACTATTTTCCTCGAGAATAAATGTGAGTTCCACAAAAACAAAAAATTTATACCTAAACTCCAAATATCCGCTAGAACACCATGTCCAATTTCTTGAATTACTTCTGGTGCCATCCTAATCAAATACGCTTTGATATATTTCGAGAGAAAAATTCCTATTTCTTACCAAAACGGTGTCCCTAAATAAAAAAAAAAAAAGAAAAGCTTTTCAATTACACAAACAAAACAGATATTTTAACGTAATTACCAATCATTGTATTTCGTTTTGCCATTGTGTCCTATTAAAAAAAATAAGAAGAAACGCACAATTCTTTGTCTAAACTTTGCTAAATTTACTGTCAATTGCCCAGCAACACCAAAATCTGCTAATTTAGCATGACCTTCATTTGTTAAAAGAATATTTCCTGCTTTAATATCTCGATGAATTTTACTACATAAATGTAAATATTCTAATCCTTTAAGTGTATATTTTAAAATAACAGCTATTTCTTGTTCATTTAACTAAATAGGTAAAATACAAAAAATTAATTTTTTTCGTCTTTTTTTCTATAATTACTGTTTTTCCTCGAAGTTTTATTATATCTGAAACTGAACCAGCTCCACAATATTCCATAACAATCTTGAACATAAAAAACAATAAGAAAAATTTAATTTATGATAATTTCTTTTACCCATAAATCTGCATCTTTAAAATAACTTCCAAAATATTTAACTATAAATGGTGAATCACATTGTTTCATTATTGAAATTTCTTTAACTATTTCTTGTAAATCACTTTCAACCGGTACTAGAAAAATTAAACATTAATTGAATAAAAAAAAACTCATTGTATTGCGTACTTTGTTTTATTGCTAAAAAATGTCCTGTTTCTCGATATTTTGCTTTAAATACATTTCCATATGATCTATATGATTAAAAAAGGGAATAATAATAATGTTATTCTTTAATTAATTACCCTTTTCCAATTTTGCATACAATTTCTAAAACATTTTCCATATTTTGTGCAAGATTTTCATCTGTTAAACGTTCAAATATTTTCGCCATTGTTTATTTTATCTAAAATACAAATATAATTTGTACCTGATTATTTTTTTACAAAACCTCTAGCTTTATTTTTAAAATCAAGATAGTGCTGATTAACAAATTTTGTATCAATAGTATCACTATGTAATGGGAGAAAATAGATATAACCATTTTTTGTAAAATTCTCATCAGGTAATTGTTCTAAATGTTGAATATTTTTTCTTATATATGTTACAAGTGTAACAAGATTTTCAAGTTGAGTAGATTGAAAATGACGAAAATGTCTCCATATAGCAGCAGCTAATACCGTATCATCATCAACAAGACCTTCATCTAATGCTAACATGAATGCATTCATTTCTGAACGTAATTCTTCTAGTTGACTACGACGAGTTTTGCCTTGACCAGGAAGAATTTGCTGAGCACGTAAATCAAGATCAATCCACATTGTACGTGCTAATTGACGACGAAGAAATATACCAGTTGGACCTAAGAAAAAAAATTGAATGTCAAGAATTTTAGTCACTCATAAATCAAAGGTCATTTTGATAAGGTCATCAAACGAAAATATCAATTTTATTTGGCATTGATTCTATCAAATAATAAAACTATGATTTACTTTTAGAAAATTGTTGTTTATGAAATTGATTTTTTGCTCGAAGATGTAATTATCCATATTCTCCAATGATTTGGCTCTTTCAAAAATCATTCGTCGCTATTACGAATCCGAAATAAGAAAAGTACATAAATATATTTTTTCTTCCTACAAAGATAGAGAAAACTGTGGGTCTACGTTGTTTTGGATCCGAACCCAACAAACTCAGGCCTGAGTTTTTTTTCCACCAATATTTGGTACCCTTGGTGTATATGAACAAGTGAAAGATCACAATTTTAGCTACTGTCAGAAAAAAGTCAACGTACAGTTATATCTTGTTGTTTGCTCTCCCATCACTTGAAATTAAAGTTTTTGCTTAGTTAAAAAAAGAACTATATTAACAAAAAAGGAAATATAACAGCTAATTTATGAACATAATTCGTCAAATCAACAGTAACAAAAAATTTTCAGTTGTATTTATATAAATAAAATGAAGCAAGTAAACTGCTGCAGGTCCACGGTTTTTTGGACTTACGCTCGAGTCGGACTTTTGTTGTGCACTATTCTCTTCGTCTCAATTAATCGTTTATGTGATCAGACTGGTCGATTGAAACGCAAAAAGAAGCGAACTCAAGTCTCTATCATTCTTATCATATACATTCTTGGTATCCATTTCACATGCAAGCTTCCTTCTCATTAACCTTAGAACCCCCATTTGTTACTACTAATTAGTCATAAAAACATCTTACTAATACAATAGGTAGTACTATATTCATAGGAAATCACCCGAATAGAATTTGTCAGTCTACAAAAAATCTAAAATATATCTAAAATCTCACCTAATTGAACATAACGAACAAGTAAAAACCAAACATGTAGAAATATAATTCTTCCAAATGATGCAAACACGTCTGGCATATCAAGTTCGCGCTGTATTGCATCAAAATCTACTGATGAAGCAATCATATAATATGATATAGCTGCTGCTTGATACAAAACTTTTTGTGGTTCACGTAATTCAGCTTGTAAACCAAGTTTCATTTTAATACGTGATATTAAACTTGGTTCGTAAAGTACAGGAAGATTATTTGATGCTTGTACAGTACTTAAACCTGTACCAACAGGTAGAGCAGCTGTTTGACTTGTTTTCGGTGATGGTTGTGTTGCAAGAAAGCGTTGTAAAATAACATGACTACAACGTATGTAATTTACTTGTTTACAAAAAGTTAATCTTAACATCTACAATAATTTATATTTTATTATTTTTCTAATAATGATTAAAACATAACAATTTATCGTGTATTCAATTATATGATTACTGTACGCTATGCATAAAGAAATAGAAAAAAAAGATAAATTCATAAGTGAAAAAAGAAAACACTGTATTGATGAGAAAGACTGAGCTTAAATTGCTGTTGCTTATTGAATTTGTTGGTAAATCGGACGGATTTGTTGATAATTATTTATGCGTGAATGAACTGGTGCTGTTTAGAAAGAAATGGTTAATTCGTGTGATTTTAATCGTTTTTCGAATTCTTGTCGTTAAAATTTGCTAGTCTATAGATAAAAAGTTTCTTCATTTTTGTAATATATAAACATTGAAACATACCAATGAATTCCATCTACTGATAAATAATTTTTCTTGATCTTCTCTACGACTTTTTGTTTTTTCATATTCTTTTTACAAAAAAAGAAATTTATTTAAACAAAAAATAAAACAAATATTTATTCCAAAATCTTGTAATTTTCGATTTTTTTTCATGAAGTTTCTTACGTAAAAATTGTAATTCTTGATTAATTATTACAATATTACTACGTGGGTCTATGTAACATAAAATCATTTTAGTTTTTTTCTAAATATTATTGATAACGTTGTTCGATTGTATTTATTTCAGATTTTTTTGATGGTATAATTTTTTCTTTTTCTATTAATTGTTTTCTAAATACAAATATATTCACTTATTTAAACAAAAACAAAAGAAAATTTTAAAATTTACCAGCATCATTTAATCGTTTTTGTAATTCATCAATTTGATTTTTTTTTGGTTGTGTTGATTTTCCGCATATTTTCAATATTAAGTTTCTCTTTTTGAAAAATTTGATTTTGTTCATTTATTGGCTCAAACATTTTTGCAATGAAGATTAAGTATACAAAACAGATCCTGCCAAATGTACTGAGTTCAAGGTACTCGTGTATTGGATCAGTTATAAACAGGATACATTATTACCAATATGTCACAGGATCTTGATTGAATATTCTGCTGAGTACTATCTCGCGAGGAAAGGTCATCAACTGTTCAATTGCTTTTGCGTTGAGATTATGTGTATTATGTGGACCCAACTGACGTGAGCTATGAATGCTTTAAAAAAAGTTTAGACCCTTAGCTTATTACTATGAAGAGATACTGCACTTTTGCAGTACTTTTTACATAATCCTGTGATCTTCCTCAGAAATATGACAAAAACTAATTTTCAAATTTTGACTCGAACATTTGCATAAAGATAAGCTCTACTGAGAATAATTTATTGTGAAAGTTTCAGATATTTTCGTTGTTCATATTCTAAGATACATCTATGATAAAAGCGAGCTTTTTACATTGCTCATATACATTCACAGATTTGATATTCCTATTTCAGAGGAAGAATAGACCAGATGACATGATACCTTCACGATGAATTATTCTCTTCAAGGCCTGTTTCTATGCAGAATTCTAAATCAAAATTCGGAAATCAGCTTTTTTTTTTAGTGCTTCTCATTGTATGGGAAAATGCAACGTGTCGGTAACAATAAGCTATGAGCCCGAACTCTTTTTGGAGTATTCATAATCTATTAGGATCTACATGATGTACATGTTTTCGGCATAAAAGCGATTAATCAGTTGGAGGACTTCCTTCGTGAATGCCATAGCTATCAGCGATGGTACATTTCTAGTTAGATAATTTATTTTCTCTTGTATGTTCGTATGTATGGTTCTATCTTGTCTGCTCTTATGACATGTATTACATTCTTTGGTTCTTTTTTCTCTCTTCTCACTCGATTCATCTCTTTTGAACAAGAAAAACATTATCAGTATGTTACTCTATGTGAGGGAGACGGCGTGTTTTCGAATATATATATATTGTGCTTTTTTTGCCTGGGTGTATGTTTTTTCCTTTTTTTTCCAATTTTGTTTAGTATAAAAGGACCAATGAGAAAGCTATAAACAATGAGCTAGGTGATTTCTGGAGAAGAAATTATGAAGTGAATTACTTCAAGATCGATTACTATTGAGTCAAATTTCCTAGGCTCAGCTCACTAGAAGCTCTGTTTATGATTATTTCAAAGAAGAAAACCTAATATGAATGAATATAGTTTTATTTACTCTGCTTTTGCAATATTTTCAAATTGTTGTATTCATTTATTTTATTGTTTTATTTCTTATATTAAATTGAACTTTTCATCTTCAAGTGTAGATATCTTTAAAAGATTATCTAATTGTTTCAATCGATTTGTTTATATAAAACCTGTAAATTAGGTTTATGACAACAATTTTCAATCTCTTGTTTAGCTTTAACAATTTGACTAAGTTCTTCTAATGTATGTTTTAATTAAAACATAACCAACATCACCTTCTTTTAGTTAATTAAAACTTAATAAAAAACAATAATTTTACTTAATTTTCTATGTCCGAATATTTTTGATGAATTTTTCGATTTTCTTCTATCATTAATTAAACATAAAAGAATGTTATTTGTACTTCAATTCAATGATTTTTCTATTCATTTCTTGAATAGCATTTATCAGAATAAGTTGAATCGATTTTTTCATTGACATAATATTTTTAATATAAAATTGTTTTCGATCACAAATGACAGCACAAACAAGAACAAGTTGTAAAAGATGACCAAGTTCAATTTCATCAATATTTTCAGCTATAACAATAAGAAAGTAAAAGATTATTGATTATTTAATTAACTACTTTACCAATCATATTCAAATCAGGCATTTGAAAATCAACTAGAAATTGGTTAAGTGTCTACAAATAATAACATAAAGTAAAGAATAGAACTTATACTTAACAATGAAATATACTTTAGAATAATTATTTGTGATATTTTTTAGTATTGTATCCAAATTATTTGTCTAAAATTTATTTTAAATGAATAATTAAAATGAAAAATTTATTTTTCTTTCACTTTTATTTGATAATTATCTCCAGTATCAGTAACAATTTTTTTGTAGTCAAGTATCATTACAATGATTGGAATCACTGGAAAAAATTACTTTATAACAAAAAACAGATAAAGAAATTTATAGCTAACATATTGCAATGACGATTTCATTGAAAAGATCTTCAGCTCCATTTATTATTCTTTTTAAATTGAATGCTTTGTTTATTGAATAAAAAAATGATTGAAATTATATTTGAAAAAGTCCATTTATATATTCATTTAACCAAACTATAACATAAAATACGTCGATCCATAATTGATCAAATGAAATTATCTGAAAATACCGAAGTTCATCTGTCACATGAGTCTCTTTTCTCGATTATATTGTCTTTGATAAAAAAAAAACGTTTATAACGAATCGTATCCTTTTTTTAATCAATTTAAAAATGCTCGTAGAGAATCTTGAGAAGAATCTGACATTGTAGGATTTGAAAGTGTCATATTGCCATGAAGTGCTGAAAGAGAAAAGGAAGATATATTAACAAAATTGTTAGTTTTCAAAAAAAAATTTATAGACTTAAATTTTGTTCAATCATTAGAATAGCAAAAATTAAACGCCCTAAATAGTTTAAGTAGTTCTGAACCCAGTTTGAAGAATACGGAGTCTATATACGGTTATTTACGACCGTGTCTGTTTGACCTGAGAATTTCGAGAAGAACTGTTCTCACTCTCTCTCTCTAAAGACCCAAAAGTCGAATAATCGTAAACAGTTTTTTAAATAAAAATTTGATCACTAACAAGATTGGCTTGCTGCTGTTGTTGTTGCTTGAGATAAACTATCACCGAGATCTACATTGGTAAGAGTCGATGTTGTTGTTATACCTCGACTTAATTCATCAAGTAACCCATTAAGACTTTCTGTATTTTCAGCACTAAAATCTGCTATTGCATCATTTAAATATTGGTTAAATTCTCTTAATAATGTTTCTTTTCGTTCAATATTTGTTCGTAAATCAGTTATATTTTCAAGTATTTGTTCTTCAGGTAATGTTCGATTAACTAATGCTTTTAATTGTAATAAATTACATTCAATTTCATTTGCTGATTCATATATACGACGCATATGTTGTTCAACAGAAGCTGAATTATGTTCAGATGTTGAAGTAGATGCTACAGCAGAACTTGAACCTGTACTTGGATCTTGGAGAAGAAAGGCAATAAATGATTTGATTGACTCTTCAAAATTATTTAATAAATCATCAGATAAATTGATTGAAGACATCTGAAATAATCAAAAAATAACATTTTCGATTTTCTTTTTTTTTTTGTACGAATTCTTCTTCTATTTCATCAAAATTCGTTAAAAGAGAGAGAATAGTAGTTGTCTTGTTCTTTTCCACGATTGGTTAATATTACAATTGATTTCATCAAATCATTTTATTAATAAAATTGTTCTGTTTGTCGCTAGTATCTTAAATCTAAAAAAGACTCCTCTTGCGCAGGAAAATATGACAACAAGGCCAATATGGCGTCGATGTCTTTACTAGTTTTCCGGATGTTTGATCTGACGTGTTATTGTTGTTTTTCAGATTTATAGATTATTCAGATCAAACGCAATTCAATTAAACAATGTTAGTAATATTAATGAATAGAGATTTTTACGATTTAAATTTCTGTTGGTTTCTTTTAAGGGCATCGTCATATGAAAATCCACCCCGTGCAACACAATATCAATCAACAAAACGGTTTGATAATCTTCAAGCTGATGTGAATCAGGTTTGTTCTTTTATTTAATTTTTGTCTCTTAATATATTAAATTAGCCTAAAAAAATTAAAATTATCCTCGTTTAACAGTTTATATACCTTTGCTTTATGTAATATTGTTTATGTATGCATGTCTTGTACAGGTCGTTGATGTTATGAAAGATAATCTTGATAAAGTATTGGAACGTGATGCCAAATTAAGTACACTTGAAAATCGTGCAGGTAAGTTTAATAAAAATCTATCGATATAGTTTAATGCTGCTCTTTATGTTGATGCTTCTTAATATGATTTTTTTGATTGATTTCTGCTTAAAAAATTTTTTTTTTCAGAAATTTTGGAAACAGGTGCATCACAATTTACAACAAATGCTAGTAAATTAAAACGTAAATATTGGTGGAAGAATGTCAAAGTAAGTGATATTGGATTTTTGATATTGAAATACAGATTATACTAAGAACAAGAAAATAAATGTTAAGATTTGAGTAAGAGAATTTTTATTATTCAGACAAATTAATGTATGGATCGGAAGGTTTTCATTATTCAGCAAAAAGTTTACAACATAAAATATTACGTGAAAATATAAAGGTAGATCATTATTTTTCTTCTGATTGCTATGGTTATTAATTATCTATCCCAAAAAAAAACTTCTTTTAAATGATATTTTATTATTTATTTAGATGTGGATCATTTTGATTATTGTTATTGTAAGTAATGAATAATATTTTATTTTATTTTATATAAATTAATTCTTTATTTAGATCGTTTTAATCATTGTTATTGTTGGTAAGATGTTATGAATAAAATAATTTAAAGAAAAATATTTTTTTTGCTTTAGTTGCTATTACTCAATCGGTTAAAAGCAATAAAAACGGAAAATAAATTCGAACCAGGTGAGAGAAATTTCAATATCACATTATTTAATTTAAAGTTTTATTTTTTTCGTTATAGAATACTCTTCGTCGTGAACACTATTTTATATCTATATAAATATATATATCTTATGTTTGATTCATGTATGCTTATTTTATTTATCTTCATTCCTCGCGTAACAAAAAATTGCCTATCCACGTTCGTGTGTTCTTCTTGATTTTTTATGGTTCTTCTTCTTTGTTTGTTTATTTAATGCCGTGCTTTAAAACATTCTCTCATATTCACGTCCGTTGATATGATCTTATCTTTCTTTCGTTTATGCCATTTTTTTTTTGTATGATGCACACATCTTTTTCTTGCGTTCAAAACTTAGTATTTGTGTGCAACAAAAAAAGAAAATTTATCAACAAGGGTAAAATTTTGCATTACGTCATCTTTTGTCTCTCTTTCTTTTTGTTTTTTATTAAAAACTTTTTTCTAGATTGTTTTCTCTTCTATAACTTTCTTGTTAAATTATACTCATTTATAAGATGTAAGTATTCGATTGAACATAAATAATTTGTTAGAAAATGAATGGTGATGTTTTTGTTTTGTAGGACAACTAAAGGTAATGGTGCTCTACCAGCTGCTGCCGGTAGCAGTTCAAAACAACTTACTAGGCTGCAAGCTGATGCTGAAGAACTTACCGATATAATGAGACAAAATGTTGATAAGATATTAGACCGTGAAAAAGATTTGCAAGGTCTTGTGCGTGATGCTGGTAAATTTCTTTTTTCAGTAAAATATATAAAAGATGTGTTTTTTTTGTTAAGAAAAATTAGGAGATGATGCAGCTCAATTTCAACAAAATACAGAGAAATTACAAGATAAACAGTGGTGGAAGAATTTTAAAGTAAGTGACATTTGATTTTTGATATTGAAATAAAAATTATAATACGAACAAGAAAATAAATGTTAAAATTTGAGTAAGAGAATTTTTATTATTCAGACAAATTAATGTATGGATCGGAAGGTTTTCATTATTCAGCAAAAAGTTTACAACATAAAATATTACGTGAAAATAAAAAGGTAGATCATTATTTTTCTTCTGATTGCTATGGTTATTGATTATCTATCCGACAAAAAAACTTCTTTTAAATGATATTTTATTACTTATTTAGATGTGGATTATTTTGATTATTGTTATTGTAAGTAATGAATAATATTTTATTTTTTTTTATATAAATTAATTTTTTATTTAGATCATTTTAATCATTGTTATTGTTGGTAAGATGTTATGAATAAAATAATTTAAAGAAAAATATATTTTTTGCTTTAGTTGCTATTACTCAATCGGTTAAAAGCAATAAAAATCGAAAATAAATTTAAACCAGGTAAGAAAAATTTCACTGAATTTTAATATCAAATTCATTAATTTATAGTTTTCTCTTTTTCATCTTAGAATACTCATCGTCTTGAACATATTTTATATCTATATAAATATATATTTATCACGCGCAACAAAAAACATCATCTATCCATGTTCGTCTGTTCTTCATTTTTTTTCTGGTGCCTCTTCTTTGTTTTTTTATTTGATACCGTTCTTTAAAGCATTCTCTCATGTTCATGCCCAGTGATTTGATCTTGTCTTTCATTTATTTGTGCCATTTGTTTTTTTTGTATGATGCGTAGATCTTTTTCTCGCATTTGAAACTTAGTAGTTGTGTGCAGCGAAAAAAGAAAATCTATCAACACGAGTACAAATTTGTATTTCGTGATCTTTTCTCTCTTTTTTTAATTTTTATTAAAATATATTTCTAGATTCTTTTTTTTGTATAATTATCTTGTTAAATTAAATTAATTTATAAGATGTAAGTATTTGATTGAATATGAATAATTTCTTAGAAAATGTATGGCCATGTTTTTGTTTTGTAGGACAACTAATGGTAGTGGCGTTCCACCAGCTGCTGCCGGTGGTGGTGGTTCGAAACGACTTGCTCAACAGCAAGCTCAAGTCGATGAAGTTGTTGATATTATGCGACAAAATGTTGATAAGGTGTTAGAACGTGACAAAAATTTGTCACTTCTTGATGATCGAGCTGGTAGATTTGTTTTTTTTTCAATAAAATAAGTTTATAAAATAATAATTTTTTTTTGTTAAGATAAATTACAACATAATGCAGCTCAATTTGAACAACATGCAGGCAAATTAAAACGAAAATATTGGTGGAAAAATATGAAGGTAAGAAAAAAATGCTTTAACTTTTGCTTGTGATGGAAAGACAAATAACAATTCTAACGGGGCTTATTAGATGATGATCATTATGGGAGTCGTGGGCATTATTTTTGCCATTGTGGTGATAGGTAAAAATTCAGTTGTGTTTTCTTTATTTATTGTCCCTATTCAGTATTCGTCAAACTGCATGTCTAACTTCTGCTTTGATTATTTAGCGCAAAATAAAGTTATGATTTTGAAAGCAAAAAAATATTTTTTTAAAATTTACTTATTTAGCATGGATTGGATCGAAAGTTAAAGCAGTGACACCTGTTCTTCCATCCGGTGGTGTAACAACAGCCATTCCATCGGTAAATAATGATTTATCAAAAGTACCCGGTGGTTCAATGGATGTTTCAAGTGGCGATAAACTATCAACAAGACGTCGTGGACGTAGTCGTAAAAAAACAACACCAGTATCAGTCACTACTATTAGTTCAGTAGCAGCACCATCAAATGATGATGAACAAGAACCATCAAATACAGAAGATGCAGCAAAAGCCGCTATAAAACGAGTTATTCGTGCACTCGTTAATAGGCAATGATTGGAATTTAAAAAAACAAGAGCTAAACAGAAACGATCTAAATTAATTTTAAGATCTCGTTTTCTTTTTTTTTTGTCATTCCATCAACATAATTGACCCTCTTGCACTTATTTGCTGTTCTTTCTCTTTATTTTTTTTCTCCTTCCATGTTGTTTGTTTTGTTGTTGTTCGTGCAAGAAAATGAATATTTACTTATTTCTAAACAGTATATTTTTAGTGAGTCATCCCTTTAATATTGTGTATTTATTTCTCGTATCTTTTTATTCTTCATTATATATATATATATATATGTATACATAAATATTTAAAAAATAATAATAATAAAGTGTCACTTGGTCCCCTTTACTTCTAAATCAACAATGATTGGTGGTTGAGACGGTCGATAACGTAAATCACATGTAGATGCATTAACAAATATAGTTGAATCTTTCTCATCACGTCCATATCCTTCATGTATGTGACCAAATACATGCAATCGTGGTTTGATTTGTTTAATACGTGCAAGTAATTGTGCACATCCGACACGTTCACCTGCAGAAGTTATATCAAGAATATTTTTAGGTGGACCATGTGTAATAAGTACATCAACATCATCAGGTATTTTTGACCAAACTGCTTTGATTTCAGGACTATCAATAGGTAGATTGAATGCCCAATTGCAAAATTCAGGTTGATATGGACTAGACAAAAAACACTGTTTTCTTTTTTTGTTGAAAGTTTTTCTTTTAAATTAATTTTACCTTCCATAAAATTTTAATCCTGTTTCTTGATCAATAAATTCTTGTTCTTCTAGATAAATAATTCCATAATCAGTTGCTAACGATGGATCACGTATCAATTGTCCAATTTTTTGATAATCTTGTTTATTTTTGTGATGCCATTGTTGCCATGTTCGTTCATAAAATTCAGGTTCAAGTGTTAAATCATGATTACCAGCAATAAATACTTTTAAACGATATTGTTTTAAAGATTTAAGCCATTGTATAAAATTTTCTATTTCAGTTAGCTGACCAGATAAAGAAAAATCACCAGCATGAACAAGTATATCACCGGGTGGAAGAGCAAAGTGATAACGTGAATGAGTATCACTTATGCATACAATACGTGTCATTTTTGGTATAATATTACTAGCCATAATTTTGATCAAATTGAATGACGAATAAAATTGCATAACCGATTGACATATTTATGCTTTCTATCTTCAGTGAAAGAAAAATGAAGATTGGAGAAGAAAGAAAAGAAAACAACACCTTGTATTATTTCTAGATCCATCTATGAAGATGGCGATAGAAGTATTTTCAGTGCATCGCATTTTTTTTTTATTGTTCGCTAATAAGAAATAATTATAGTTATGTGTTATTGTTGCCACTTGATTGTGTAAGATTACCATAAAGCATGATTCATATATGAATGTTGTTATTTGCAATAATGCTGATGTAATGTCATGGGAGTGATTTTGATAATTTTTTTTTTGAATATATTAAAATCAAATTAGGATTACCTCGTTTTCTTTCTTTTCGTGATATCAAAGACATTTGTTTTTTTATGAATGAGTTTTAATTGATGTTAAAAATTTTTTTTTTTTTTTTAAACAGGTGATCGTTTTTAACAGCTTGTATAAGGAAGAGAGTTGAATGAAACATGAATTGATGACACAAGGACTCAAACTTTCACAATTAGTACAAAATATTGATACTTCCAAATATTGTATTTCTATAGAGAATGAATGAAGCATTAATACTATAAAAGAAAAAAATAAATAAATTTAAAAACAAAAATAGAACAGCAGACAAATATCATATTGCTTCCGACTGTGACAAATAAGCTCATATTTCAATCAGTTTATAGAGAAATAATAACATTGGAATAACGAGTGGATGTCTAATTTGAGTTCGAATATGAATGAGAATTTCAAAAACAAATCAGGACTTTAGTAGGGAAAAAACATTTATTTCAATTATTAATTATAATACAAATACCTGATTGATAAAAATGCCACATATTGTCGCTCATAGTGGATGAAACTTGGCTATACTACAATGAACGCTACAAATTTCAGCCTGTATAAAATCCGATGACTGGCATTACTATCAAAGAAAATGATAGAATTTCCAAAATATTAAGCACATATCTAAAACGGATGTAATAACCCTAATAAAAGAACTGAGTCTATTTTTTGCACTTCGAATACTTCGGTGCAATGCATTATATGCCTGTTTTTCATGGCATTCTCACCTGCTGTGATGGATGTGATAGTGTTTCCGTTGTATCCTCAGTTGTTGTCATGCGTGTGCGTGTTTCCACGTGTATTAGTATCCCAGTGGCACTCTCACTCTCAGTTGCTGCGATGCGTGTGGATGTATTCTGTGCTCACCATCACTCAGACTCTACTTCTCGTGCGCTTCACTCTCTTCCCCCCCTCCCTCCTGCTCCAGACAGTGGAGAAACTAGAATTGAAGCCTAAATAATAATCACTCCGTTATGTTCACACATTCAGTAATAAAACAATTACGGCTCCTACAGTCGATTACGCAGTTATTTCATTTAGGTATACAAGGATGTATCAGAAACATTACAATAATTGCCTACGGAGTTCGGAGGGTGTTATGCGCTGCCGATATAAAAGGCCAGTCACACCAGAAAACGTGCTTCTGCACACATGAAGATTCATTATCATATTTTTGAGCTATGAGAGAAATAACAAAGTTGAGACATTAATTATTGCACTAATATCATTCTCTGTATCCAAATAACAGCTCAGATAAAATTTATTTTTTATTTTTCTGCTGCACTTACCGGACAACTCTATTTGAATTATAATTTATAACTGAAATTCAATTATTTTATCTTTGCTACAGACAAGTGCTAGTCTCAATGCATTACCTATAGTTGTGAGTCTTGCTCAATCTCTAATATGTATTAACACTGATACGAAAGTTTAATTCAGATTCAATCATTTTAATATAAAGTATATATGGTTACTATTTTACTTTATAAACGCATTTCTACTATTCTCGTAAGTCTGACAACACTGTCAATAAAGTTGATTTTAGTATGCATAATCACACTTGTTGACTTGTGCTGAGTGGGAAGCGAAGGCAAATAAGAAGCGCATCAACATAGTGCAAATCTCGGTTGTTATTATTTTACACAAGAGAATCTTAGGGGTGTGAAATGAAGTTTGAACTTTGCTTGATGATTGTGGTTCAAAGAACGAGAGAAAGACAAAAAACCTCTGATGTACACAACATACAATTAGAAATATAAGAAAGAATAATAGAAAAACACACTCTCATAACAATAGTTTGAATAACAAAAAGTATTACGCCCACTGTGTAGGGTAAGACAGAAAAGTGCAAAAATGATATACAAAAATAACTAAAATTAAAACACAAAATGAAAGTGCTAATTTCAGTTTATGTTTTGTAAGTTATCACAAAACGTTAATTCAAAAGTATTCTATCGGAATATTGTCCTCTATGATGATTTAGATAATAATATTCATTTCATCAGTAAATAATTATTGTGTTTGAATATAACTTTACATGTCTAATAATTTCTTGTGATTTAAATCTTCAATCAGAATTCGGACTGTTGCTCTTCGCTGTAGAATTTCACTTGCTGCCATAATCTTATTATATGGATTAACTGAATCGTAAACAGCAATGTAGATTATATTTCAAAGATTAGTTACTTTTATTTGCTTTTGAAAGTTCGAACTAAACTATTGTAAAGTCTACTATGAATTTTGTTCGTGACTTATAAATACTTGTTTCACATAATGCAGCTAATTGTTGATAATATTGTCTTTTCATTATTTAATAATTTATTTTTGTTTATAGTAATGAAAACAAGACCGTACATAGGATCTACCGAAAGTACATTAAGTTCTGTACGTTTAAGCACTTCATCAAGCCAAAAAAGTTTAAAGTTTTCTCGACAAAGAACTAGTCTCAAGATATTACTAATGACTATCAACAGTTCAAGATCGTCTACCTACTTACTGTTAAAAAGACGATCATAGGCCTTTGTGAAGGCTTGATAATTTTATTGGCAGACGAGATATCTTATAAATAAAAATCATCATTTTCATATCGATGACAACAGATCTTGATTTAAATCATACAAGAAATTAGTATGTTAGATTAAAATGTTCATGACATCAAAACGACCTACTTAAACATAATTTGATGCTATTGTGACCTAATAATGTCGTTGCACACTGTCATATTAAAGCACAATAACATTTGTTTGTTTATGGCAGTCAACTTGCTCATGTCAATCATAAATGATTTTTAAAATGCTATCTGTTGTAACATACACACATAACCAATAGTGCCTTTAACACAATAAATAGAATCAAAAAAGGGTTTTGTGTTTGTTTTCAAATGAAATGTATGTGTATCGTCAAAACAGGCTTTAAAACGCTAAGTTAATCGTAAGATGTCGAAACAAATTACATAGTTAACAATATTAAGTGTGCATAGTACTAAAATATTATTTATAAAGTCAGAAAATCCAATTATATGTTTACATTCAACAATGAACTATGTTGAATAAAAACCGTTTTGCAGAATATACTATTTATTAGATTAATATATCTGAAAAACAAAAGCGTGACAAACTTTAGTTTTCATCTCTCATTCAAAATCATTCATATTCTTCAGAATTTCTGCAATAGATAACTCAATATCAAATTATAAATAGTCTATACTCGTCAAGCGTTATGATTACTTCCTAATGGTTAAGCATAGAAACTACAAATCATGAACAAAGAAAAAGGCTTTTTCTATTAATGCTCCAATAGATATCTATGATACACTGCAAAATTTACTATGTAAAGTCACAGTTATAAACTAATGATAGTTTCGAGATGTCGATTACATTTATCAGGAAATCATTCAAGCATTTAAAAGCCTCTAACATCACAAAATTTTTGTTTTTGCATGATATTTTTCATTCAGCGCTATTTCTTTATTCTTACAACTAAGAGATGATATCTTTAGAAAGTGCCTATGTTTTCTCTGTAATCAATGTTGATTCTCTAAATTCCCATATGCCGTCCTTGATTGTTTTTTACAGTCAATCCACATGAGCTGTTCGATGCTATTCATTAGTTCAGTCTGATTTTAACTATTCTTTTCTCTATCAGCAGGATCTTGAGTGTCACATTTTGTATTCAATATATCAGCATGTTGATTATATGAAGATTCTAGTAATACTGAACAAATAATTTCTGTCATATCAATTACCAGAAAGGCCATTGAAATTATCTATGATGATACTAAACTAGCATCAGTATACATTTAATCATGTGATAATTTTTGTTCGGATAATATCTTGTATATGAAAATGATCGATGTCAATATTGATCACAAACCTTTTGGAACAATGAGAATTGTATTCCTTGATTCTCTCAACGTGCTCTTGTAACACAAGCAATCAAGATCAAAATGATTTTTCATTAGTTTGAACAAGAAAAAAATAAAGCATCTATAGATAGTTGATCTAAAACTTTCAATCGAAACTACACTTTGTCACACATATTTTGGTTGATCCGTACAAATTATTGTTTCGTACTAAGAATTGGACAACAGTTTTTACTTTATCAGTAATTTATGAGTTATATATAAGTTACTTTTCTTGTATATATTGTCTTTACGTTTACCGTGTCGATTTCGGAAAAGATGAATCGCTTTTTTCATTCGGTATAATAAGGAAACCATGGTATTTCGTATATAAATTATTTGCACACTTTTAAACTAATATCTGCCTTTTCAAATCATTGTAACTTGGACACAATATGACTTGCCATTTGGTTTGGTACTCCATGAAATGTTCAATCGGATGAAATTTCACATTAATCGAATCACCGAGAAAAGCAAAATGTTAAAGACATGTTATAGAT